TGGCATSGGTTCAGCTCCCACTCCGCCTTTTAGCATCCAATTCTTTCTGAAACCGGGCAGAACTCAAACCAGAATGACTCAAAAGATAGTATTTCATGATCTGTGCCATCATCGTAAGCAAACAACAAAACAGGACCATCGCCAGGACTGGACCAGTTAGGCCACAGTTCTGTCTAACCAGTTATGAGGCCCTCCAAGGACAGAGATTCCCACCCCTCTGGTGCTCTATTCCTAGGCTGCTTCATGCTCCCAAGATTTTTTTCTACCATGTCCAACCTGAATTTCCCCAGCACCAAAATAAGGGGGATATAACTCCATTCTAAAGCTTTTAAAAGAAAATATTCTGTAACCCAAATAAAACTCAGTTGTAACAACYCAAGCTTTTGTTTGCTGAAGGAGGGGAGAAAACACTTTTCATTTATCAAATTAGAGTGCTAAAAGCTTAACCACCTGTCTTTAAAAAGAAGCCAAAGCACTGAGCCATTACCAAACAACAAGCACACCACTTCTTCATCTTGATTTGTGTGGAGGCACAAAAGGTATTCTTCTTCAAATAAAATCCATTTTAAAACTTGGCAACCGCTAGCATAAATACTTTACACTGTTAATGTAATGTAAGCATTTCCAMGCAGAAGTTTCATCAGCTTAACAACATCTTTTAAAAAGCTGATGTTAACTTCTGTGCAAAAACACCATCACTCTCTGTCCTGTATATTTTACAGTGCTCCAGCCACTAAATTACCACTTAGAGCTATTAGCACCAGATCCCCTCCCTGTTGGATTCACTGATTTCTCTCAAGAACAATGCAGAACCCAAACTATTCTTCTGCAACTTGTTTTCTTTGAAACTGGAAATAGCCACTGCTCTACAAGGATTCCAAACAGGGTTGAACTGATTAAAAATGATACTGTGGGTCCAGCAATTCTAATTCAAGATAAGCATTCCCAACTTTACATATTGGTCTAACATTGAGCAGCTGATTTTTTCAGGCAAACAAGCACCCATGGAACTCCAATGGCCTAACTCCAAGGTGTATTCTCTGCCTCTTCAGCTAAAAGAAGCAGAACTAAGAGGATAACACATCCTTAAACTTTCTAAACATGACTGCTCCTGCACCAGTGTTTATGATTTTGCATCCCCAGTTTTCCAWCCAGTAGGTACAATTAACACCAATTCCTTCACCACCACACAGTCTYGAGTCAGAGGTGTGCAATTTAATATTTAATTATGAACGAAGCAGCCAACCTCAAAATTAGGGCTGCCAGCTAAACTTCAGCCAGCTCCTTCCTGATGCAGCCCCAGCTTCTGACCGCTGGACTGTTTATGCTCCCTAAGCCATGGAGAGATCCCTGAACCAGCCTCTCCAGTTAGTTTGTCGTTGCATTGTCCCAGACCAGAGGCTGTCACATCCCTCTACAGCTTTTTTCTCCACTTGTCTTCTCTGCACACCCTGTCATGAAGTGCTGGCTGTGTGTTTTTGGGAGAGTTGCCCTCCCACGTGTCCAGAGAGGCTGCCAGTGCGTGGGCACAKGCACAAGGACTCTCCTGGTGATTCCTACCAGCCTGGTGGAGAACCACATCACCCACCCTTTTCATTTGAACCACCAACACTTGTGAAATGCGGCGAGCTTAGTCAGCTCAGCACTGTGGAAATTAAAGCTTGGAGCCAGCTTCTTTAAAAAAAAAAACCCAACCCTCTGTGTATATCAAAGCCCACGTTGAGAAATTCTCCACCCGTGCCCAGCAGCTCCACTACCAACACTCCTCAAAATCCAACTGGAGACTTCACCCACCACCACATGTCCTCCCGTCACCATCACCAGGCTTCCTTTTCAATCCTGTACACTTCATGGWATGGGTCAAATCCCAACACAACTGCCAGAACTAATGCAAATCTCCCAGTCTGCCTGGTTTTCAGGAGAGATGAAGGCAGAGCTGCTGGCAGGTAACACCATATGCTCTTCTCACTTTCCACCGTGGAAGAAAGCAAAGGCAARGCTGTGAGAGCGCAGCTCTCCGATGCTTTGGGATTGGGATGGGAACCCTTTCCCTCACAGAGCTAAAGAGAGAGCACGAGAAACCCACTCCAGCAAAAGACAAAACCAAACCACTGCGCACCAAATTTCCAACTTTTTTTAAGAGGCTGCGTTTTCCTGCAGCACTCAAAAAGCAGGCTGCAGGCGGTTCTCAGGCACAGGTTTAATTTCTGCTCTCCAGCTCYGAGGAACGCTGTCCCGGCGTGTCGGAAGAAGGTTAATGAACGATTTAGCCGCCCTCACAACCACGTTAGTGTCACTTTCGGAAGCTGCGAGTTAATGCCCAAGATCTTCGGGGGTTACCCTCTTTGAAGTTCACTGATCCATAACCAATGTCCAATTAATTTGCAGGAGCCTAACGATAATGACTATTGGCCTTTTCCGACGCATACAAAAACACAGTGGGTAACAGCGATGCTTTTGGCTTCAGGATATTCTCAAATCTGCCTGCACATTTGCACACCTTCAAAAATATCCAGCGCTAATAACGGGTTGTCTTCTGCCATTTGAGGATTTTTTTTAAATTTGCTCTCCTGAGAGCAGAGCCACTGCATCAAGATTTATGAACTTTCTCTTGCAAAAAAAAACCGGAGCTGATTTGAGATGCTCATTTGCTAACACAGAAATACTTCTATTGCATTTGCTTAGATTCCTCTTTATTTAGGGTTTCCATGGAAGCCACGGAATAGAAGTTCAGTCTTGGGAAGATTAAACAGGCCCTGAGATATAATGCAAAACAGCTTATTTCAACATTCCTCAAAGAACAGAAATGAGAAATTCTTCCATACATATGCCAAAAAAAAGGAGGTTTGTGGAAATTTTCAAAATAAATTGGGACCCGGCTTTTCAAATGCTGCATGCAGCCATTGCTTCCTGCTGCAAGCAGCTTCACCAGCTCCCAGCACAGTTCCTCAAGAAAAAAAGTAAATGATCAAGAAGCCTGCAGGATAAAAATGCTGCAGGTTAAAAACCAGCTTATTCAAGATAGGTATTGCTATACAACATCCAGAAAGAAGGTTAATTCAACTACAACGTCTTGCACAAAGAAGAACAATCACCTCATAAATTAGTATCTCAGCAGTTTTTAGAATAAAAATTGTTGAGATTATGCAGTTCAGCAGCATTTTCCATGGTGATGCTCTGGATGTCACAGAAGCTGACAGACCAACATTTAAAAAATAAAATCCATCCCTTATCTTCAGCTACTCCAGGCTAAGAAGTGACTCCTGCAAACGTTTCCTTGCCTYCCAACCTCACAGGTCAACAGAATGTCAGTAGCCACAATGACAGGCTCTTGGACACTACAAATTAATAGCCACAGATTTTCTCTGATCTCCATCCTCCAGGTAAAGATTTATTTCACATTGCTTCAATCTGCTGTGAAAATGCCCAGGACCAATGAACACTACTTCAAAACACTTCTATTTCACAGCACATTTCTTTAAACCATTTTACAACTGGGCACAGATATATTCAGATAATGGGTAAAGTACACCTTTTCCCTGAAGCTGGAGCTTAAAACTCAGTGTCATACACAGGATTTGCTACCTGGTCTGGTAAGAAAACTAAATACAGCTGTTACTTTCAAGTAAATTATTTTCAATCTTAACACCAATATTGCTTAAATAAAAAGATACTTAAATCGACGACTTTTCTAATCCTTCATTTATGGTGAGCACCCAACTGCTCAGTGAAATACACTTCAAGACACAGTCAAAATTTTTATTAACTCCATGGGAAAGTCCCAAGACACTGGGATATTTTTTTTCTGACTCCTGATTAAAACAGCGGGAGCCCACATGAATTCCCTTTCCCCACCCGCCCCCAAGAGCTTCACATGCAACATCCCCTTCTCAAAATCTAAAAGAAAACAAGAATCAAACCGAGAACATTTTGCCAGCTGAAAAGCGCCGAGACCTTGTGCGGGGCGGGATGCGCTTCCAGCTGCCAGCCTAAAGGGACGGCGGAGGGAGATTAAACACAGAAATGCTTTTCATAAGGCAGGAGGCTTTGAAGAGGACAGTTCAGCTACTTCATTTCGTAATCTTCACAAAGCGTCAGATTTTAGCCTAAGCAGGTCTTAAAACAAGGAGATTTTATTTAAAAAGGGGGGGAGAAAAAAGGAGGAATGTGTTCTGGCCGGGTTCTGTTGATTCAGCAAGGGTTAGACACACACATGCTTATTGATCCCAGAGAGCTCCCTGCTAAGTTAATTGTCTGGAATTTTAACTGAGCTCTCAGCAAGTTTCAAAATCCATGTTGGCTGGAAGTGGGTGGGGGACCCAGAAAAAAAACAGGCTGCAGAACTGTGCAAGTCCTCCCGTTAAAAAAAAAACCCAGCAATTACTTTCATGAAGGCAAGAGCTGCAGCAGGAAATGGTTTTAACTGGATTTGGGGATTCTGACTTYGACACCGCTAGAATTCAGAGCCGGAAATCTCATGCAAAGCAGTACCAACTATCAGAGAGCACCATCAATGCTGCTTCACTCCTACCCACATCACCAAGGTGAGGGTATCTATCTCTTGTGAGCTCCCTGTTGTGGCTCATGACAATTTCTGCACAGGAAGTGTCACCACCAGCTGTAGCTGCCTGTGTTACAGCACCTGAACACTGACCTTCTGCTGGTGCAGGCCATGGCCTACCTGGCACGGCAGCTTGCCAAATCACCTGTGTGTGCATGAGGGCTGCCCGTGGCTGTGCACTGCCATGGGCCCTCCCTGCCTCCACAACACCTCCAGGTGAGGAACATGCTGCAGGGATGATTTGGCACTGTCAGACAGGAACGGCCAAAGACACTTTTAAAATATCCTGCGATTGCTTTCAAACAAAGCTTCGTACTCCACCAAGCCACTCAGCAATGCCATCCTGTACCAGTGCACACGCTCCCCACCACCCACGGTCCTCCAAGGTTTCCCATCTCCCCCATGCCTATGGCAGTTCCCTGACCCAYGCCCCACCTACCTGAACTCCCTGCCCTCGCTGTAGCGCCGGGCTGAGGCCGCGCGTTGCGTGGCTGTCTCCAGGAGCAGCTTCTGCGTGAGCCTGCTGGAAGGYGCCGAGTCCCTGCTGCCTTCGGGCTCGGCCTCTTGGTCACACTTCCACTCCTCATCCTCGTTCAGAGTYGGCAGATAACCAGGTAGCCCTTTACCTGTCCCAGACCCTGAGCTCGGATCGCTATAAATTTTTGGACTTTCCCCACCTGTCCTTGTGTATTCCAAATAAATATCCGACTTAAGGAACAAAGGGTAGGTATTGTCTTCTATCATGCACTGAATCTCTGTTTGGGCCTGGTCAAACATGTCAGGGTCAATCTGCAGTTTCATGACACAGTCTTTGATGAAGCTTTTTGTGGCCGGTTTGATCTGCCGGGACACAATGCCATTGTTGTCRAGGATGTATTTTTTGTAAATGGCTTTTGCCAGCTTGAGTCTTTTTTCCTCATTAGACACACACGGCTCCAGCTTCCTGAAGCCGCTGCAGGCAAACCAGAAGTCCAGCAGATCTGCACAGTCCTCCTGTTTCAGGAAAGTCCTGAAGAGGTTGATGCCATCTTGATCATCCAGCAAGGAGTGCAGCGACTCGGCCCACTTCAGGTAGGGTGGAGTTGGCGAAGCACTTCCCTCGGGCTCGTACCCCAAATCCAAATCGGAGCGCCTCGGTGTTGCTGTGGATGTCTCATTTCTGACCACATCACTTTTACCAGAGTAGAAACCATGGCTAACTGGCCTTGGATCTGTGGACACGAGCTCCCCCTCCTCACCAGGAACYGGTGGCCTTGGAGCATCTTCAGTGAAGCTTCCTCCGAGGTCCAAGGGGAAGCCYTTCCCCTGGATATTCATTTTTCTGGTCCTTGCTTGCACGGGAACAGCGGAGGATGAGGGCCAATCTCAAATCACCAGTATTTGTAGCTCCAAGGTGAACAAGTTTGTTCGGCTGAAACAGATGAGGGAAAAATAAGCGAGTATCGCTGGAAACAAGCACTCTAAGACAACAAACCACCGCTTTCCTCCGTACCAACGCTTATTTTTTCAGCAGAATCAATGGCTTAACAACTTCAAGAGCACAAAATTGAGCCCAAATCAGGCACAGGCTAAAAATGACAGTTATAGAATATCCCAGAACTTTACACCCAGAATTTGGCATCACTGATATAGCTGACACTATGCTAAAACACCAGCCAACTTCCCAACACTGGTGGTTTTACATGACCCTGGCACATGGCAATCCCCACATCCAAGAGATCTATACTCAGGTACCACAGGACACATGACATTTTCTGCACTGCCACCAACTCCTCTGCACTTCCTACCCGGACACGACATACACCAGATCATACTAAGGCAACACATTTTTTATCTGGCTAGGGATCTAGGAAATTCTTATCCTCAAACAGGAATTTAAAGCTTGTGAAAATTATTTTTAAAGAATATCCAGTTAGTCCCGAAAGCAAGGCTGCACCTTAATCAAACACAGGTGGCTTTCGTACACTCAAGTGACATACCAGCGCCACATTCCTCACAAATCTCTGCGTTTCAGAAATACGCCGCGTCGCCTCGTCTAGCTCTAGGGGAATCCAGCTGCATCGTTGACCCTAATATTTTGGGCATCTGGACTGCATTCTTGCTTCAGATGGGCATGTTAGTACAGGAGCCCAGTTCTAGCACTGCTTTTTGTAGGCAAGCCGTTGAGGAAAGGTTCATTTGCGCTAACAAAATTGCATGCTACGAGCCTGGGAAAATTTCAGGTCATCAAAGGAAGATGAGAAAAGCACCTTGACAAGGAAACCTGATCAAGTATGATGTTTTTAAAGAAGAGCAATATGGAGGATGGAAGGTATGGAGAAGGCAGAGAAGGGCAATCCCTGGGTTGCTACTTCTGCTGCTCAACAAATTAACTTAATCATTTAAAGCCAGTAGCAAAAGCCTTATGTTACAGAACAGCCTCTGCCCCTAAGCCCCAAGCACTGCAGAGCCCCAGCAGTCTCACAAATTACTCCTTTCACTGGATTAACTCAATTGCACGTAAAAACACACCAAGAAAGACACATTTTAGCTCATCCTTCCTCTCAAAGCAAGCCCCACACGAAAGAACATCTTTGGGATGCTTTAGCATTTCCCCATTTCCTGATCCTGGTTAAACCAAGAACTGCCGCCGATGCGGTGCCTGTCCTTAGAGCCCATCTGTCCATCGGGAAACAGCCCAGCGAGCCCAGGAGCGGTCCGAGCGGATGGCTGGGCCCCGTGTGGAGCGCGGCAGGAGCCAGCGCCGCGCTCACAGCCGGCCCGAGCTCCCCGGCACGCAGCCCCTGCCCTGGCACCGCGGGACGGRGCTGGGCTCTGGCACCACGGTGCGCTTGTGGGTGCTTTTCACCCCGCTTCTGGAAGCCAGAGCAGGACTCGCCCCCCCGTTTGCGATGCAGGTCCCCGGTGACCCCCGGCCGGGCAAAGGGRACCCCCGGGGCAGCGGCCCCGCAGCCCCACAGCCACGCCGGGYATTGTTGCGGCGGGGCGGCGCTGGCTCCTCGCCCCGGCCGGGGCAGCCCCGGGGAGCCTCCCGGAGGACACGCGAGGCGCCCGGCCGGGCCGCTCGGCTGACTCCGGAGGGGACCC